ACCCTTGTGGGCCAAGTTTCAGCGATTTCTGAGGTTTCAAAATACTGGGCCATCCAAGTGAGATAGTCATTTTTGAACATGTTATTTTCATTTCAAATGTGAGTTAACTACATCTTTCTGCACTTAGTACAATCTACTACTTTTTGCTCACATTAAGAATCCTACTTCGAATAACATCCAAACTATGGAATTACGAGCAAGCCAAAATCTCATTTCTTCCATTTTCCGCTTTCAGTATCTCAGATTAGAGAAGACCAATCAAACTCAAATCACTTTGATGTAAATTGAGATAGGCTATCTTATATACTACTATATATATATCGTATACACTCATTCTTGTCACCTTAAATCGCGATTTACATAGTAGTGCAGACTAGGCATGTTACCGTAACCCAGTACTTTCGCAGTATTTTCCATTTGCATAGGTAAGGAAAAACGATCATATCTTTCACTAGAAGAAACGATTTCAAATGGTTTTCCTACTATATAAAGAAGATGGTTGAGCAATAGCAACGATATAAAAAATGCAGAGATTTGAATGATTTGAAGGTATAGGCCGTCCGCGCAGGGCGCGGAGAGTGCGCAAGGTGTATATTGCGCGTCGCTCCTCTTTCCCCGTGCACTCTCGCCGCCCGTTTTTCTCTGCGCCCAACTATCTTCACTGACGCAACAGCGTTGCTCTCCGCGCGCAGCGCGGACGGCCTATAAATTAATCGGGTGTGGCACAAAACCCCTTGAAGGCAGCGTCCAGGCAGATCCGAGCTCGACGACCGCGCCCACTTCCCTCGGACGGCCAACCCCTTATGAACGAAATCTCCTCAGCCTTGACGTGTTTTCGCATGACGAACACAGTCGAACTTACAGCGTTTACCTGTTAATACTTGCTTTCGACAAGGATAACATCAGAAGCACTCGTCCGGTTTTTCCCAAAATAGCTTCAAAAGGTGGTTTTCTGAGAAATTCACGCTTTTTGAGTTCCATGTTCGGAATCAGCGCCATGGAAAGGCCTGGATAACATAAAAAATATAGAAGTCGAGAATCTGCCTGAACGCTGCCTTCAAAAGCTTTGGCGGCCACAGCTTTTGAGGGGTTTTGCCACACCCCATTAACTATATCAAAAATACATATTTAGTGAACAATATTTACATGAGTCGATAGCCTAAATCTCGTAGATTTCAAAGAAGTAATTTGAGCCTGAATTTGTCTTCTTGGCTCTGAGTAATATCTTGTGAAAGCACAGCCATCAAAAGCGAAAATTGCGAAAAAACGAGATCTTGGATGGCTTCTAGTTCCACAATATGAAACTTTGGAACGTGATCTGTAAAGTAGACAACAAAGAAGCAGTGCTTTGTCGTGAGTGCAAAAACGGGTAGTTAACTCACTTTTCAAACAAAGTTAATCATATTGGAAAATGACCATTTCACTTAGGTGGCCAAGTATCTTGAATCTTCAGAACTCGCACAAACTTTGTCTACAGGGGCTAATTGGCATGTTAATCATGGATATGTTGCCCGTTATGTGACAGGGCCTTCAAGTAATGCTATCTTAGGTATATAGTTCAGGGGGGTCTTATTGAGACAGCAATCAGAGGAGGGGGGGGGGGGTCGTAACCAGCGATCTTGTGCCACACTACTTGCTTTACCCTGGTCATGACTCATGACTCACACCGCGGATCGCCGCCTCGCCTCGCATGTTTAGGTCAGGACAAACGGACGAGTTTTGCTACTGCGCGCGCTTTTGCAAACGAATTTGAAATTGTGTTGCATTTTGTCAACTACCTAACGCTCACCTATTGCTTTGTGGACATCCTTAATTCTACTTCGCAAATTGTTTCTTGGAGTTTACACTTCTTGGAGAAGAGTCTCAGACCAAACTTCGATTTGTCAAGCGTACTTTCTTGGTCTTCAAAACCATCTCGATAATATCACTGATAAAAGTATTGGTTTTTTTTAGTTTTCTATCATAAACCTTAACTAATCTTTTATTGACGCCTCATTCATCCCACATTGGCTTTTCAGTAGCAAAGATACCTTCATCTACTATATTGTTTACAGGGGCTTTTTTTCGTTTTCTTTGACAATCTTGTATGAAAATGGAATTATAATATAATAATATAATATTTTATTATATACTATATTTTATTTTTTATTTTATTTTATTTTATTTTATTTTTATATTTTATTACATATATTAGGTCGTTCCGAAAGTTCTTTCCGTTTTTTCAACCTATCATAAAAACACGTGGAATGAATGCAGGAAAACGCTTTAGGCACTATCTGACGCAGCTTTTCTTCCTCTTTTCAACTGTCATATTCCTGTGCCGCTTGCTCTTGCGATCAGTGAGATAATGGCCGAAATTTCGAACACATGGTTTTTACCATGTCCAACTTTGGCAATTTTTCACAATCTTCATTTTTGACTTTTGGAAAAACTTTGATAGCCATCAGATAGAGTAAACAAAGTGCAATATCATGCAATTTTTTGGCAATTTCAGCTGGCTTCTCATTATTTTTTGAGATAACTTTTTCAGAATTCTTCACTTTTTCAGAGTCACAAAACACACAAACGCTCCGAACTTCAACAAATCTTTGGTTTTCGAAACTTTCAAAAGTCGTTTATGATTGCACACTATTTTTACAAAGTAACTGAGCGTTTACTTCTTCGAAATATAAGATTTCGCAATTCACGGGCACATCATGAGGCGGGTACAAAATAAAGATTTATGGAAATTTCATCGCCAAAGACCCCACAAACATTGAGGCTAGCTATAGACGCCGAAAAATTGCGTGATATTGCGCTTTGCTTACTCTATCCGACTGCTATCAAAGCTTTTCCAAAACTAAAAAAGAAGATAGTGAAAAATTGCCAAAGTTGGACATGGTAAAAACCATAGGTCTGAAATTTCGGTCATTATCTCACTGACCACAAGAGCGAGCGGTACAAAAAATATGATCATTGAAAAGAGGAAGAAAAGTTGCGTCGGACAGTGCCTAAAGCGTTTCCCTTTCTTCGTTCCACGTGTTTTTATGATATGTTGAAAAAACGGAAAGAACTTTCGGAACGACCTAATATTATTATTATTATACTAGCTGGCATACCCGGCTCCGCCGTATGTTCCGAATAGAAAAGTCCATTTCTTAACCGATCCGAACCAAACTTGGCACACATACACTTCGGGCCCGGCGGGTGTCACAGTCCACTTTTCGTTATCGATTGATGTCGATTTTATCGATTTTTTGCAAAATTTGAGCTAGGGGGCTAGGATTTGGCACAGGGGGGTAATCGAGCATGCTCTCAGACAATCGCCGGGGGCAGGCGGGCACCGGAAAAATAGATTGCTGATCTCTCGCACCCCGCTCGCGGATTTTTTGGAAAGCAATCAGGACTTTTCGGAAGACCGCTTGCTGAGTCAGCGGATTTTTGAGAGACCGCCTGTTGAATTTTTTTTCGCTCTTATCTTTTGCAGATATATTGCTGAATCTCTGAGGAATCGAAAACTCAGCAAGCGGTCTTCCGAAAAGTCCTGATTGCTTTCCAAAAAATCCGCGAGCGGGGTGCGAGAGATCAGCAATCTATTTTTCCGGTGCCCGCCTGTCCCCGGCGATTGTTTGAGCTGATTACGAATGCCAAATTCCAGCCCCGTAGCTCAAACTTTGCAAAGAAATCGATAAGATCGATAAAAGTAATGCACGATTTTAAAAACTAATATTGTATTTGGAATCCCCATGCTCACTTACCCCCCTGTGCCAACTCCCAGCCCCGTAGCTCAAATTTTGCAAAAAATCGATAAAAGCGATATCGATCGATACGAAAAGTAGCCTATGACACCCGCCGGGGCCCGAAGTGTATGTGTGCCAAGTTTGGTCCCGATCGGTTCAGAAATGGAATTTTCTATTCGGAACATACGTACACACAGACATACAGACAAACAGACATTCAGCTTTATATATAAGATGATAATATGTAAGAAAAAAGTTATTATTTTGCGAATTTGTGATAGAGAGAAGTTCTTGCAGAACCAAGGGATTTAGAAAGAAGACAAAGTGTGGAAGAAAGCGTGACGAGGTAAACATGCTAAACATAGGTTTCATCGTTGCTAAACATTCAGATTTGACGCCGTTTACGGGGCCGGACCCGGTGGCTCAAACTGAGAAGTTTTGCCGAGACATGTCTCCGTTTATCTCAGGAAAAACTGTTTGACTGGTTTGTAGTTGTTATTTGTACATTCTCTTGCTTTGTGTTTGTTTCACTATGTAACATATGAATCTTGCTATAGGGGGGGGGGGTGAGGTGCGGAAGGACTGGGTGAGGTGTGCATACTCAGACAATCGCCGGGGGCAGGCGGGCACCGGAAAAATAGATTGCTGATCTCTCGCACCCCGCTCGCGGATTTTTTGGAAAGCAATCAGGACTTTTCGGAGGAGCGCTTGCTGAGTCAGCGGATTTTTGAGAGACCGCCTGTTGAATTTTTTTTCGCTCTTATCTTTTGCAGATATATTGCTGAACCTCTGAGGAATCGAGAACTCAGCAAGCGGCCTTCCGAAAAGTCCTGATTGCTTTCCAAAAAATCCGCGAGCGGGGTGCGAGAGATCAGCAATCTATTTTTCCGGTGCCCGCCTGCCCCCGGCGATTGTCTGAAGAGAGGGTGAGGGGGTGAGGCATGAATGGAGGGGGATGTGAGGAGGAAGGGAGGAAGGACGAGGTGAGATGTGGATGGAGGGTGGAGGGAGGGGGTGAGGCATGGATGGACGGCAGATGTGAGGGAGGAAGGGAGGAAGGACGGAGTGAGGTGGGATAGAGGGTAGGGAGAGGGTGAGGCGTAGATGGATGGGGGAGAGATGTGGAAGGACGGGGAACAGATGTGGATGGACGGGGGATATGAGGGTGGAAGATGTCGAAGGATGGGAAGCGACAGAGTACAAGTAGAGAAAAAGAGTGGAGGCGGGTGGGCGAAAGATGAAGACAAATTTCGTTAAAATTGAACGCTCGTAAATGTAGCCATGATATGGACGGGGGATGTGAGGGAGGAAGGCAAGAAGGACGGGGTGAGGTGTGGGTGGAGGGGTTAGACGTATCTGACATTGTTAACGAATATCGAAACATATTGATAATGTAATATTGTTAATAAAATGATATTAGTAGAATACAAAAGAAGAGGATTACAAGCTTTCACACATTTGGTTCTCTTAATCACATCTTCTCTACTTTCTCCTCTAAAATCACTGATGCCTCATAGCTCCTAAAACCTGCTCTCTTACAGTCGTGGGTGGATTCTGCAATAGTACCCACTTATAGGGTAGTCACGCCCTGCTTTATGAGGCCAGTGTTCCAATGCGGAGAGGAACATCAGAGGAGCCCCTTTGCCAAGTAAGTGTTACGAATATGCCCAATTACTCACTACCTCGTTTACAAAAAACCTTTGCAGTTTCTTTGTCGGGGTTGCCTTGGCAATTAGAGCAGGATTTTCGGCAGTCGTTTTACTGAGCGTGTTCGCATTTTTTAATTGGACAAGGGCAAAACGAACCATGAGAGGGGTACACGCCGCCGTGAAGGGATTCCGCAGACCCCCCTAGACGCGGCGTTTAGTGTATATATACTGTATATATCAATATCTTGTACACTCCAAGTTGTTGAATAAATGTCGTAGTACTTCTAACCTTGCAGAATCTGATTGATGCTCTTAATCTAGTAGTTCAGCAAGTATGCTGACCAGAGCTGATCTAGGCGACCTGAAGGAGCTCTGGGACTGGGCAGAGTGTGTCATCCCAGGCATAGCGTAAGTTTCCTACAAAATGAGTGAATGTGTAAATAAACAAATGTTGTTCAGGAACAAGATTTCAAAAACTGCTGGGATGCTTATGGTCGCCATCGTCTGGGCAATCGGTGCCTTCCACTTCATCATATATTGGCCGTATATTTTTCAAAAGCGAGTGGAGGGTGCCATGAAGGGGTGGAAGGAGGCGACGGAGGTGGTTGAGGAGAACGGTGGAGAGAGTAGAGGTGAGCCAAATTCAATCTATTTAGGTTGAACGCAACTTTTTAGGAGCGGCCTTGGAAAGTGCTGAGGACAGCGAAAGCGGAAGCGCATCAGCAAGTCAGGCCCCACCCGAAGGAGTCGAGTGCGGTGGCAGAATACCCCCGTGTACTCTATGTACACTTATGTAAAGATTATGTAAATATTACATAAACAATTTTGAATATTTGTAGATAATTTGCATTGATAATTTGTACATAGTTTTGCTCATTATAAATCTTCATAACGCTAGTGTTGTGAGCGGCATAAGTTGGCAAGTAACATCTGGCACGCGCCGTCTGCACTCTCCGCCGCCGCCACACTCTCTCTGCATGCTGCGTCTTGCTTTCCCAATGCTTTCTATGCGAACGCAGCAGCCTGCTCCTCCGTGGAAGCGACCACACACGACGCCGCTTCCTATGCATGAGTGCAATTGCTCACTGCCCAGCTATATGCATCTGCTGCCAGGTACAATTTGCAGTGATAATTTGTACATAATTTTGAACCTGAAGAATACATAGTATAGAAATGGGGTCATACTTCATTGAAATTTATGAGCATGAAATTGTTGCAATCAGACTTCTTCGAGATCAATAATTTCAATATCTCGGTCTTCTAACACTTTTACAGGAGGAGACTCCTGATCGGAAAGCGAATTAGAACTGAGTGTAGAACCGGTTAGGATCAAACATGGAGAGGAATGATCGCTTCTTTGAGACGTTCCAGCGTTTTCTTCCCTGGTCCTCTTGTGGCACCAGGAAAGTCAGCGGGTCGGTGGCCAGTTTCTTTAAACAAGTTTGTTGGGTACTGTAAGAACTCGTACGGTGACAGCTTTTCAGGTCCACTTATCGCAATTCTGTAAAGGAGATATTGGTGTGCTTCAAAGACAAAGTGGGAGCGAACCTCAAATAATCTTATATATAAAGCTGAATGTCTGTTTGTATGTATGTATGTCTGTATGTATGTATCGTTCATTCGTTGACCGTACGGACTGCCGACCGCGTGGCGACTGCGACGCGTGCCTTCTAAACTTGCGAAAAAGTGACAAGTTGGACCGTGGCTTAAGATGAGAAGAATTCTTTGTTTCTTTTCTACATTATAAAGATGAGAAGAATCCTCTGTTTTCTTTCTATTCATCTTTTCTACGAAAACATCATGCACGCGCAGCGGTCGCCGCGCGGTCAGCAGTCGTTACGGTCAACGAATAAACGATATGTATGTATGTCTGTATGTACGTATGTTCCGAATAGAAAATTCCGTCTTAACCGATCCGGACCAAACTTGGCACACATACACTTCGGGCCCCGGCGGGTGTCACAGTCCACTTTTCGTTATCGATCGATGTCGATTTTATCGATTTTTTGCAAAATTTGAGCTACGGGGCTGGGAGTTGGCACAGGGGGGTAAACGAGCATGCTGACCACCCCCGTGGGGGGGGGGTTGTCAGCATGCTAAAACCGCTTTTGATCCGGAGCGAAAAATCACCAGCTTACTACTCAAATTGCTTTTACCTACGCTTTTCATCTTGTACGCTTTTTCTTCTGTTGCCGCGAATGTAAGCTTGATTTCACCCATTATATTTGATCCATTGTTCTGTTGCCGCAATTTGCATCCTCCTATCGGTGCCTACATTTCACTTTTTCAATCTGTCTTGTCTATAACGATTGCGAGCGATTGTCAAAGTCAGAAGAACACACCGCGCGAATCAATTCGGCAAACTTGCGAAATTGTGGAATGCAGTTTGGATATGCATCGATATCTAACAAGAAGATTGAAGCAAAAGCATACTCAAAAAGTAAACAAATTGCAAATCTGCAGAAAGTGGACGCATCCAAAGTCAGAGGGAATCACAAAGGAAAGAAACTTCTGCGAACTATGGTTCAAAGGATGAACCAAACGGCGTCAAGGTAATGAAATGGACACAAATATTGTATGTGAATTGAACTACACACTGCTGGCAACAGAATAAAAAGCTTGGAAAATGAAAAGAGTAGCCAGGAATACTAAGATTCTCAAGTAATGATGATTTTGCGTTCCTATAACAAAAGCGGCCAGCGGCGGCTACGGGCTGCTACGGGCTGCCAGCGGCGGCTGCCGGCGCGGTATGAAGGCACCCTTACCGGCAAATGCATCCGTCAGAGCAGCTCGATTTTATGAGCCATGCAGTGTATCCAAATTACAGTGACGGTGAAACTGCATCTATGGCATCTTGTGTATCTCCGCGACTCAGCAGATCGTCTTTACGTGTCCCGAAACATTCACGTTGAGTATTTCCTGTAGTCCTCCCCGGGGTGAATTCATATTAGCTGCGCCATTAGTGGTTACTGTTACAAGAACTCAGGTCTCGTGCAACAAATCTTCTCCCTTAAAATACTAGTAAATCTTCTCGAAGACGTCCCGCCCGGTATCGGATTCAGTCATTTCCAAAGCCTTCAGAAAATGCGTCATCAGATGCAGTGCAAATCGATCAGGAACTCGAATAAAAACCAGGGTCGGTAGTAAACCTGTCGAAACGCGCAACACAAACTCAGAGTTAACTCCGAGTTAACGCGCACCTTTCAAGGACCTAACACTTGCATAAACAAACCAAATTGGAAAAAGGGTGATATGGCAGGATACCCCTCTAGACGTAGTTTATCCCAAGTATGGAAACACACCGTAACTCGTTCCACGCGAGACGCTACGAGACGAAACGTGCAGCTCAGCTGCGCGTTAACTCTGAGTTTGATGCGCGTTTCCGGCTTGCGCGAAACTCGGAGTTAACTCCGAGTTTGATTAGAGAAAGGGAAATAGTGTGCAAACGCAGAGGTGCAGCTAAAAAGTCCTTCGGGGTACATTATGCTCCGAGATTCATCGAGCATGATGGGGGTATCATGGCGCACCGTTGGACACAAAAATTTGAAATTTTGTAAAATTTGGGTCCCGGGGTTATCGGACGTGCTGATCACGAATTCGAAGCTCATTTTTCGCCATTCGCCCACATAACGAGGTTACGGTAGGGATACGGTAGCTGGGCGAAAGTCACGAAACGGCTGAAACTTGGTGCAGGGGGGTTATTTGGCACGCTAATAACGACTATGATAGTCATATTTTTTTAATAAATACATCTTTCGCCATTCGTCCACATCACGAGGTTACGGTAGGGATATGGTAGTTGGGCGAAAACCACGTAATCGTCTGAAACTTGATACAGTGGGGTTTTTTGGCGCGCTGATCACGAATCCGATGCTCATCTTTCGCTACGGGGCTACAAGTCGGGATTACGGTAGCCATACGGTAGTTGAGCGAAAATTACTAAATTGGTATAAAAATTGAAAATTGTGAAAATTGGTATTGTGGGGTTTCTTGGCACGCTGATCACGAATCCGATGCTCATTTTTCGCCTTTCGCCCACATAATGAGGTTACGGTAGGGATACGGTAGTTGGGCGAAAATCAAGAAATCGGTTGAAAATCGGTACAGTGGGGTTATTTGGTATGCTGATCACTAATATGGTGTTATAGGGCCACATAGCGGGGTCACAAGAGAGATACGGTAGATTAGCCAAAATCACAGGATGCAATAAAACTTGACTTGGTGTTGTAATTCACACGTTAATCACTAATATCATAGCCGCATGGAAGTACTTTTCATGGATGGGTTCCGGTGGATTTACGGTAGATGGATCAAGATAACTTGCTTAAAACTTTGTTTGCTAAATACTTGTTGTTAGATACCAGTGGCGGACGCGGGATTTCCGTCCGGGGGGGGAGGGGAGAGAGGGGCGACGAGAAAAATTTTTAAATGAAGGTGCGTGACGTCAGCCACACATTCCGTAATTTTTTTGGGGTGCTTCTTAGGATTTTTGCTGGCCCAGAACCCCTAAAATTTAGAAAAAGGGGGCGTGGCGGCGGTCACTCCCCCAAAAAAATACAAGGCTAATTTGAAATTTTAAAATTTTCAAAATTAATTTAATTGTTTACAAGAACTTGCACGTTTTTATCACCACAAAAGAAAATTTCAAAAATCGCCTCCCCCAAAACCCCGCCGCCCCCTCGGTCCGCCACTGTTAGATACGCATCATTTCTTTTCCACTACAGGACTATACGACGGGGTTAAGTAGGTGTGTGGTAGGCTGAACTGGCTGAACTGCTTGAATTTTCGCGGCTCATGGGGCAGTGCAATCATGAATGCTGGCCGTTTTTAATGAGGATTATTACGTTGGGCATATACGAAATAATGGCGAAAATCTCAGATTTAGTTAGACTTTTTTTGAAGCAAAGAACCAATGATATCGGGTAGTATTTTTCCATTTTTATTCCAAAATTTTTTATGGTCTTGTTAACAGAAACCTCAAAAAATTATTCGGAATTTGCTATATTATTCAGAGGTCCTTTGAAATTCTAACTTCTACTTTTAAATGACCTCTACACTTTGTTTATTACTCAAAGTTATTCTTCAAAAATTATGGTCAATATTGAGTTTACAGATTACAGGTATAGATCATTCGAAAAAACTTGGATACTAACAGAACTTTTGGATTTTATCAAGTATAAAGCATATCAAAATAGGGTGAGAAAAAAGGGGAACGGGTCCTTGGATTACGGCCTATGCCCATTTTTAAGAATCTCTAGGATGCTTTATGGCCAGGCATCTCACAGGCAACCTAACTCCTCTCCACTTGTCTTGACATGTGAGATCTTGATTACGGGGATCTAATAAGCCACAGCAGCAACAACACAACAGTGGTTCCGTAGCCTTGTGGTCTAGTGATAGGCGCTTTACGCCAAGTAACGGAAGTTCGATTCCCGAGCTAGTCGCAGTGTTTTGCGGTGAAGCATGTGGCGGCTCCTCAACAACCATAACGGCTACTACAAGTAGCAGGACGAAACTCCGAGTTAACTCTGAGTTTCAGAACGGAACTCGGAGTTAACTCTGAGTTAACGCGCAGTTCTAAACTCGGAGTTTCGGCCAGATTACTACCGGCTCAGAAGAACTTGTTCGCTGCCAGGATCTGTTGACGAGTCAGTTAGCAAAGAGCATGGAGACTGATTTGTTTTTATATACTGGAACAGTTGCTTGCATGGATTTACTAATATAACCAGTCATCCTGACGAAGCCATCACGCGTATGCTGCAGTTTCCCTATATCGGCGCCCATTGCCATCACCGCT